GCAGCAGGAAGTACAGAGTCCATAGTACTATAAGGCTTCAGCAGTTCTTTCATTTCATCATCATAAGCTACATCCAAAGCACTTTTCCCTGAACCACTCCTCTCACAGGGATTCGCTCCATGCTGTAGTAGAATCCTGGCCGCCTATTATATATTATTATTATTTGTATTGTGATTATTCTTGTTGCAGACTTATAAAACAACTATATGTAGTATATCTATTATAAATCACAAATAATAAAAGTACAAATAAGATACTCTAAAACCTGTTACACTTGCAATCCCAGTTAAAAAATCAAGTTTAACTGGCTATTATAAACACAGACTTGTATCTTACACTTCTAATTTTTCCCTTAAAATGCACAAATAATTCACAACTTGACATTAAACCTACCAGCTTTTTGGTATTTTTATAGACAGCAATTACAAAACTTCATATATCTGAACTAAAAGGAACTAGTCAATTGTATTAAGACCAAAGTGCAGAAAAGAAGTTAACTTTTTTCCTTTAATTATTTAATAGTGGTTTTGGTTTTTGGTTACACGCACTGATGATTTTTTTCCTAATTCCAAATCACTTGCAAGTCCGCTTAACTGTAAAATGTGAAAATGAGATTAGTGGTGTCAGTGCAATCACCTACCCCCTAAAATTCAGATCATAGGAAAGTGGTGATGAGGTCAGAGCTTGGATGGTAAAAAATTTTCATACGTATGACTTCTCACCCCCTCATTTTATCTTTGCTCACAGAAAACATAAATGTGATGAAATATCAGCTCTTCTGACAGGAATAGAAGTGGTTTGTTTGAGCCAATCTGGCATCATCTTTTTATGCTCAGTTCCCTGGAACTCACTGTGCCAAAACAACATTGTATTTACTTGTGTGCAGTTCCGGGCCCCACAACTTAAGGATGTGAAGGTTCCTGAATGCGTCCAGAGGAGGGCAACAAAGCCGGTGAAAGAGCTGGAAAGCATGTCCTGTGAGGAACGGCTGAGGACTTTGGGTTTGTCTAGTTTGGAGAAAAGGAGGCTGAGGGGCGACCTCATTGCTCTCTTCAGCTTCCTGAGGAGGGGAAGTGGAGAGGGAGGTGCTGAGCTCTTCTCCTGGGATCCAGTGATAGAACACATGGGAATGGTTCAAAGCTGCGCCAGAGGAGGTTTAGACTGGATGTTAGGAAGCATTTCTTCACGAAGTGGATGGTCAAACACTGGAACAGTTTTCCTAGAGAGGTGGTCGATGCCCCAAGCCTGTCAGTGTTTCAGAGACATTGGGACAACACCCTTAACAACGTGTTTTAACTTCTCGTCAGCCCTGAATTGGTCAGGCACTTGGCCCAGATGATGATTTTAGGTGCCTTCCAATTTAAATAGTCTAGTCTATTCTGTAGAACCATGGAATGGTTTGGGTTTGAAGGGACTGTTTAATGCAAAAAAAAAAAAAAAGAGAAAAAAGGTTGATTTTTAAACAACAGGCCTAGGGTTTTTTTCTTTACAAAAAAGAAAATTTTTCCGACGACGGTGGAACAGGTTGCCCAGAGAAGCTGTGGGTACCCCATCCCTGGAAGTGTTTAAAGTCAGGTTGGACGGGGTTTTGGCAAGCTGATCTAGTGAAAGATGCCTCTGCCCATGGCAGAGGGGTAGGACTAGATGCTCAAATTGAGAATGCTCAATTTCAGTATTATTTTTAAAAAGCCCAATATGTGGGAGAGAACCATGGGGAGCTTCTGAATTTTTCTGATTCATCTGCTGGACTTAAAAGGTCAACTAATTGCACAATTTCAACTATTGCTATTGAAAAATATTTCCCTAATTTTGATCACTTTAAAGAATTTGATTTATCTCCTAAATGCAAATCTACACTAAAATTTTATTAGTGACTTTGACTTTCCTTATTTAAACCAGGATTTCACTTTGCTCACCTTCTGCTAGAAATCAGGCTCAGGAAATCAAATGTAAAAGAAAAATGTACCTCTAAATAATTGCCAGAAACAGCATCGTGTATTGGCAAAATACCATCCACATTTCTGCTGTTAACGTTAGCATCAGCTTTCAGTAATTCTAAGATCACTTCAGTAAATCCCCTATTGGAAGCTTCATGAATTGCTGTCCAACCTAATAAAAGCAAAATGACACACACAGCATGCATCTGATTTGTAAAGATCCACACAGATCACTAATTAGTGATTATAGATTTTGCTGCATTTGCTGTACTACAAGCAATGGACTACTCTCTTTAAGACAAATCTTATACAAACAATCACCTTGAAATGCTGAGGTAAATTATTTCCTGTGTAATTCAGTTTACTTGAGAGAAAAAATGTATCCAATATTAAGCAGAAAAATATTGTTTACTTTTCTACTACACTACTAAAAATAATTAAAAACCCAAAACAATAGAATAGAAAGACTCTAAACACTCTGAAGAATAATATTAACAGACTGATTTCTAATCCCAGTGGCATTTTATAATATCAAGTCTGAATGTGCTTCACATGTGTATATATTCAGGTGCGTACGCATTAGCTGTCCCAACGAACTTTCAAGTTCACTTTCAATACATATCTCTGAAAATGTTCTCTTCAGCAGAGGAGCAAGACCCATTTAATGCCCCTGCTGAGAAAAAGGTTGCATTAGCCTCATGCTGAGACATAAAATACAGGGATTCACTGATTGTGCTTGCACTCATTGAATGACTTCCTTTCCTTGTCACAATTATATAATAAATCATGAATCCATAATTATATTAAAATTACATAAATAATATAAAACCATATAGACCATAAATTATATAAAATTGTATCATAAAACAAGCCCAAAAGAGAGTAATTTTCAAACCTGCATAGTCCTGTTCATTGACACAAATTCCAGATGATATTAGAGTTTTCACCAAAGACAAATCTCCTCTCCTAGCAGCAATATGCAGCTGAGTTTCCCCTTTTTCATTTCTCTTAGTTTTTGTCTTTCTCTTAGCTCTTGTATTACAGGCACCATGTAAAATTACAGCTTCTTTTCTGGTAGACAGGGAGCATTCTAAACACATACCAGGTGTTCATTAGGAACCACAAAAAATGTTTCATTATAAATGAAGAATTAAACTTCACAACCCATTTGAATTCATGTAAATGTGTGCAATCCTTTTGCCTTAATTATTCAATAATATCAATTGACTACATCAAAAGGTTAAAGGTACTGTGTAACAGTTCAGATAACAAACAGACCCTATGCAAAAGAATCTACAGTTCAAATATAGATGACTTAACAAGGGTACAATGTATGAGGGATCAACAAAAAAAGGTAAACAAGGTCGAAGTCTTGTACTGTACAGAAGTAGGGAGTATGTTATATGTCTCCATGGACTGCTTTCAAGTTAGGAGGCACGCCTGCTAATATATAAAGTACACACATAAAGGTATTTAAGAAACTATATGAAAGTGAAGACTTGTCCATCACCTCTTTTCTGTTCCTAATTCTGTGTCAGGGAAGAGATAGGTTTCTACATAAGGCATTTTTATAGCTGTGATGTGAAAAAGTCCTGTAGACTGATTACAGATCTTTGATTAATGTCCAGTGACATAGCTGAACTGCCTTTTAATTGGACCCATAATTGTAAAGAAATGATTTAATCCTTCTCTTATTGGACCACAAAGTAAACAACATCCACTTTAAATTTTATTGTGATCATCAGACAGGTCCTAACTCTAAGGTTTCAGGTAACAGACATATCAAATTTAAGGGGTACAGATGAAAAAAAAAGATTTAAAAAGTACTGATTCTGCATATAGTGTAAGGACAAGCCCTTCCACCAAACTGCTACTGAAAAGGCAGGGTGTATAAGTATTCAAGAACTCTACCATGCATGTTCGCTTTTATTTAAACTCCTGTTCTTGCTGTTATAATACTATGCTATCAGATTTTCTAAAAATTTCACTGTATTCTCTCTCAGATTTCTTGAAAATTTGTAATTCAACCAAAAAAAGGAAAGTGTAAGGTTTTAAATAAGCATTCTGCAACTCTTATCCATGGGTTTTTTTTAATTATTCCTACGAACAATTTCTTGCTGCATCCCAAGCATTTCCTCTTCTCATCAGACAAGCTGTCTTCTCAAATATTATCAGTATCCACTGCTATCAAACATCTTCCATGATTTGACAGCTGCCTTTCTTCAGGCTCCTCCTGCCTTCTGGAAAATCTGATTTTCCAAGATTTCCTTTAAGGTAAACTACTGAGTTTGTCATCCAAGACTGTTTGGAAGAACATGAAAGACCCACTGCAACTATATAAAAGACAGACACATAGTAAGGATATATCCATACTAATTTTAACCTAGCTTGATCAGGCACTGCCGCAGCCAGACCATGGCAGCATGGAGCTCACTGGAGGCTATTCTAACCTGTCAGAAAGTATTCAGGTGGTCCTTTTTGCACTGGGGGTGTTTGGCCCACACCGTATTGGCAACCAGAAGAGCTAAAGAGTTTCTTTTTTAAAATGAAAACTGAGATTCTAGAGCATGCACAGGGGTCACATTATTGAAATACTCCTCCAATTTGAGACCTACTTTTCTGTAAGATAATGTACTGTGTTTTGTCTGAAAGCTTCTGGGTCTGAACTCCCAAAGCAATCATCCGCTTTCTGGTTCTTCCTTTTCTTCCCCTTTGATTCATGGGAGAATACCCTAGGGGCTCTTTAGAGATGTGGGAGGAAAAAAAGGTGCACAACAGCCCATTAAGCTAATGACCCTTAGCAATATTGGCTGCAAATGAACAGAAATAATTGCAAAGTTTTCCAGTTAAGTTGTCATGCACAACAGTTTTCTTCATGGTTGTTAGGAAACATTTGCAAAAGCATAATGGGACATCCGTACGTGAATCACAAAATACTGGTTCTCCAGAATGCGTTGCCAGGTGGGTCACGAGCAGGAAAGATCAGAAACTTGGCAATTACAAAACCCAGTCAGCACATGTACAATGATAAGATGGAGAGATTACAGTAACCAGCAAACAGAATAGATCAGGCTGCCATCCCTCAACAACTTCAAGGATATCCTCCTTAAAAAAGACATTTGAATACTTCAGCATTGGTCTATGTGTAATTCTTTCCACAGGTTGAACTCTAAGAAAAGAAGCAAGCCATTGGCACCTTCCCTCTGTATAAGCAGAACAGGAATGTTGAGACCCTAGTAAGTGACTGACTGTAGAGGAAAGTGATACTGTGTCATCTAGGAAAAAAAGATTTTTATTCAAGAATAGAATAATATAAGAAAGACCACTGGGACACAGAAACAATCAGATGAGATGCAAAAGCCAGTTAATGAAGAAGAGGCATGAGACAGCAAAAAATCTGAAAACACCACAAGTCAGAAAACATTATCCCATCTTCCACTTTTTTCTGCTGCAATCGGAATGCCATTGTCCCAGTCTCTAAAGCTATTAATTCCTTCAACTGTATGATGGGCTATACTTTCTCGCACCACCTGTCAAGCAGCAACATTCTCCTGAGATGAAGGAAGTAATTAAATTTTAGCTGAATAAAATATTACCTGAAGAATCTCTCTTGGGGGAAAAATAATCTGTGAAATGCTATTGCAGATAAGACCAAAATGTAAGACACGTTTGGAATAAAGTTTTTAAAAAAATCATAATTGTATATATAGAAGGCAAAAAATGTAAAGGAAAAACATCCAAAAATGTATTAATGCACATAGACCTTATTATAATAATTGAGCAGGAATATAGGAGCTACAAAGAAGAACAACTGTAGGAAAAGGAATCATTTCTATGTTCATTGTTTATTCTTCCAAAGATTAGCAGCGGATGATGACACGTATCAGATATGCCATGGACTTTTCTCCAGAATGAATTAAAAGGCATTCCTACAACAAGAGGAATCAATTTGGAGATAAGAAAGCTAAGTACTGACACTGCCAAGTACTGGAGAGCAGTAAGTAACAAGAAGCACCTAATGTTTTCCTCCTCCCTGCACCTTCCAAAAGAAAATGTGAGCTTGCAGTCCAGAAACTCAAGAGAGCAGTATGGGTTGAAAACTGGCAACCACCTGAGACAGGAAGAGGAAATAGCTGAAGGTAGAAGAGGACAAGAAGACTGTGACTATCAAAGAGAAAAGGATCAGCAGGAAATTCAAATTATTTCCTGGATGTTTTCTGTCATGTGTTACAGGACATTGCAGAGATTGGCTGATCAGTCCTTAAATTAACTTGTAAGACTAATAAGCATCCAGACAAAGTCTCCAAAGAGAAGGGTACTAAGCAAACAACAAAAAAGGTAAACAAATGAGAATGTTGACAGTATGTGCGCAGATGTATTTGTCCATTGTGCGTGTGTGTGTGTGTATGGGTGGGCCTGTATATTTGTTTTACATATTATTTTAAGTATACACGCTGTTATGCATACTGGTTTTAAAAGCATTTAATGGATGTAGAGGATGAATCCCATTGATTTGCAAAATATATACAAACTACTTAATGCTAGCATTCATTTACATCCCACTCAAAGGCAACCAAAGTTTGACCTATAGACCCCATCAGCACATAACTGCAGTCCAAGGAACAAACTAAAGTTTTTTGCAACACATGCTCAGAAAAAATAAATCAAATGTTATATCCATGCACAAATACACGTGCATTCACACATATTTCTATAAACCTATACATATAAAAAAACACATTTTCCTATGTATGTATATACAAAGCATACATTTACATTGACACAGTAGTTATTTGAAAGGGAAAGTTTCATGGAGCTGGAAACAATTATAAATAAAAAAGACAGTTTGAAGAAAAAATGTCAGCAGAAAAATATGAATAATAGCTAGAAAGTTGTCCTGGTTCCGGCAGGGATAGGGTTAATTTCCCCAATGAGCCGGCAGGGGGCAGGTATTCCATCCCACCTGACCCATGCCGGGGCTGTAAGAGGCGCTAGCTGGGGAGGGGGGAGCAGTCACCACTCGGGGGTGGGCTGCGGCAGGGTAGGTTCAGTTGGTGCACTGTGCAGCGGTACTGTAACCGCATCTGTATAGCCCTTTATCGGTGTTATTGGGGTTTTTTTTCCCTCTTCCCTTTTGCTGTTCTGTTAAATTGCACTATTTCAACCCACGAGTTTTGCCTTTTTCTGTCGATTTTTCCCACAGCTGTGGGAGTTGACCGAGCGGCTGTGTGGTTCTTTGTTGCTAGCTGAGGCCAAACCACAACAGAAGTATTTCACAACATACCCCACACTCAAGATGAAAATCTGCACCGAGTCAAAAACTAACCTGGCTTAGGAAAGGAATTAGAGAGCACAATAAATGAGAAATGAAAAAATAGGAAGGGAATGGTAGCAAATATAAATAAGGAATGGTAGAAAACTGCTGTGGAAAACAAAAGAATACAAGGAGATGGTCACAGGCAGCTAAGGTCCTAAGAAGGCAGTATTTTAAAATCTATCAAAACCAGAAAAAATAATTCCCAAACTCTTGATTACTACAGAGAAATGACAGAATTGTCTAAGACAATCAGAAAAGACAAATAGTCCATTCCATATCAAGGCAAAGCTACACAAGAAATTCCTATCATCTAGTGACACAGGTTTTCTGATTTCAATGCAAGTTAAGGAGAATGCCAAATGATATGAGGATAAAAATTTTTGAATCAGCAGTCCAGATATATTACATTTAAAAGTTTTAAGAGAGGAGGGATCCCGTCTGAACTACACGTTTTGGTTTTAGTAGGTCTTGAGTACTATGGTTCTCTGGTTCCAAAAAGAACCAGAGTACACAAGATGACTGCCAGCTTTACCAAAAAAAAGCAGAAAAGAAGAAAATACTTGGGGGGTTACAATGAGCAATCAGTTGGACCAGGGCTCTGTTGCGATGGCAAGGCTACAAGATAAATGCAAGTTTTAGACATGGGATGAAACAGCCAAACAGAAAGCTGTATGTGCAGGCAGAAGAGAATATAACTACTGGAGGACACTAGACCTTCATTCTCATATAAGTAGGTTTGTTTCTATACTACAGCTAAAAACAAATGTACCAGTACAATCAGAACCTATGCTGATCTGTGCCTGATGAGGATACAGTCTGTAAGTGGATATATGTGTGCCAAGTATACAGAGAGCCAGGTTTTCTTCTTTGGTCTGTGATATGTAAAATAGTTAACTGAGGACCACGTCAGTGTCACTTTAAACTATTACTTATATAGTATCAATATAATATTTTAAGCTCTTGGTTATGATCCTGCATCCCCTCAACCACAATGCTGAAAGACTGATGAATGTAATATAAACAAAATAGAGTAAGTATGTGCATCCTGTAAACAGAGTACAGAAGTTCTGGAAATAGTTCAAGTATTTAGAACTCACTAGAGTATTTGCTCAACATGTATGTATTTTTCTAAACTTTCCCTCAGGTATTACAAAAAGCCTTCTTCATGTATGTCTGGAAAAAAAAATCTGCTGTTTTTATAAAATATTATTAACTTTTCACCTGATTTCTTGGATGTTTGCTGTTCTGATGCTTGACTGAATTGTGATTGATTAGGTGAAAGCTTGTTTTTGCTGCTACTGGAATATGAGGCTGCCTTTTGGCTTGTCTCCTGAGGGTCTAATCTTACTCTTTTAGTCTGAACTTCCTCTGTCTCAGTAAACTGTGAAAGCACATTGGTCTTTGCATTTCCTTCTTCTCCATTTTTTTCAGTGCCTTCTGTCCCACTTTGTCCAGCAAATACTCCTTCATCTGTTGGTTTAATAAAAGAATTTAAGAGCATTTATGGCATAATAGTCAGTAATTTCAGAAATTATAACTGGTATTAAAATTAATCTCAAAATGACCACCTAGTCTGGGTTAAAAAATGCCTGCAGTAACTCACACAATTTTTGAAAAGACTTAAACATAATAAATCCTTTATCCACTATTCACCATATGTTAATGTACTGAGACTGAATCCAAAACAATTCAAAGATTCTTTTGTGACAATATGACCTTTATTGATTCTTAGGTATTAAAAAAAATAAGGTACTTGGGAATTTCATTCTAATTATTGTAATGACCATTGTGGCCACATTTGGTAAATACAAAAAAGACTTTGATACAAAACAGCCCCCAAAAACACAAAGCAAAAATTATTAACTAGTTAGTCTGGCATAGTGGACTGTACCACAACACATTCCATGTGTCTGCTATTTATTTGAGGCAAAATACATTCTCTAGAGACCAACAGCTGCGTTTTTTTTAATAAAATACAGAGAATGCTTACAGAAAACTCACAAAATAATTATTTTCAAACAAAACATGGCACCTGTTTTCTGGAAGGTTTCTTTCTCCGTATTTTCCACAATCTGAAATGAATGAGGAGACTTGCTGACTACATTAACACCAAAATTCAAATCTGTTTTTGAGTTGGTGTCCTGAAGATCCTCTCTCTTTCCTCCAATTTGAAGTGTGCCCTTCTCATGGAGTTGTAAAGCTATAGGCTCGATCTCTAAGCTACTAGCATTTTCAGTTTCAATGTGACATCCTTCAACACTTTCTTCTGCATTAAGCAGGATCCTCCCTCCTTTTTCTGGCTGCGGACCCTTTTGTTCAATGGTGATTAGTATGCCACTGGTAGAATTATAAGGACTTCCAGAAACAGTTTCTTCATTAGTAGCTGTTAAAAGTTCATGTGCTAACAGTGTTCCTGCATTTGCTTGACATGTCTGTTCAGTGCAGCTGGTTCCATCCTCAGATATATTAGTACAAATGTTTTGCACCTCATTTAAAATAGTCTGTTGCAATATGTCTGTGATGTCTGAATTCATAAGATTTGCACACACTGGTTCTGACTCATCTGTCTGTAAGGAAATCTGTTCAAACAAAGGCAAAGACAGTTTTAAACTTAGAGCTGATCCGTTGATTTTGTTTCCATCAACATCAGGTTTAACTTGATTTGTCAAGTTTTGCAAAGAAATAATTTGCTCTGAAGGTATCCTCGTATCAGTATTTAGATTCCTGTCACTCAAACTACTACTGTTATTCTTCTTGAGACTATGTTGATCACTGTCATAACTCTTGACTTCCTGATGTAACTTTAAAACAAATACATTGTGAGAAGATGTCAAAAAAGCAAGCATTGACCAAGAATCAAGTCCTGTTAAATTAGTAGTCTGAGAATGCTGTGCAGATGCTATGTTGCCAGGGCAAGGCAAACTGGTGATCTCCTCCCCTGTTACAACACAAGTTGCTGAGCTTCCACCAGTTCTGCCCTTTTCTCCTGTAAATGGATTACCACTGTTGAATTAATGTTCCTGTTACAATTCGGTCTGACTTGGCTCAGTTTTCCTACAATATTAACTGGGATGCAACAATTGCGATTAGAAACAGCAACAGTGTGCCCCATTTCATTAGTCCCAGCATCAGGGAAATACATTTTCTGTAATTTAACTGTTCCTTGGTTTGCAGGTGGACCTAAACATGAGGTCCATCTAACATGAGACATTATTTCTGAATAGTTTTACTCTTGGCTGTAGCCTCTGCTATAAGAACAGCAAATCTATTTGGCTTTTTGAGCTTGTATTTTTTTCATTTGTTTTTTTTGCCTTCAGAATCCTGAAGAACTTTTTTTTTATATTTCACCAAATTCGTTTTTCTGTTTTGCTCATTTTTAGCAAAACTTCCTTTGACACTTTAGTATTATCAAGTTGAACTGTGCCATCTGCGTTTAATTCTACCTATAAAACAGGCCATATACTTTATTTAATTTTCTGATAAATTGCTTTATTATATACTAAAAGAAAACTGTGCTATTGTAAAATTAACTGATTGCCTCTGCCTGTGCACCTTTTCCCCTAAGAAATTAGGGAACTAAGAAATATGTCTATAAAAGACTAAAAATTAATGGGTGAAATCCAATGATAAATATTACTGAAGTGCTTTCTGTTTTTATTTATTTTTAAAAATTGAACTGGTTTCAAATTCATGCTCTGCCTTTAAAAAATTAAAACTACATTGCTTCTGTAGTCATATACCAGAGCTACAGTTTCACATTTCTGGCAAACGTGCCTGAAATGATTCTAGGAAATTACAAAGAAAGGGAAATAACACAGCAAAACCATGCAAAATTAACTCATGCCAATCTCAGCACAAAACTACTCCAAAGGCCAATGACTAACTAGAATTATCCCATTTATTACTTCATATCTGGAGATAGAACCAGAACACAAACACTGCAACAGCTCACATAACTATTGAAATCACCAGTTACACAGCCACAGTAACAGGTTTTCCCAATTAAATGTTTACAGCACCTTCTGCTTGGAGAATATCCTTCATCAATCAACTAATGTTTTAAAGTGTAATCTAAGACTACACACCACGGATGCTGTTACAGCACAACATTTCTAAGGACACTGTAGACTGCACGACTGTAAGTAACGACGACAGTTATAAGGACCACATAAAAGTTTAGGAAGCAAGAATAAAGTGTCTGTGCACACTGCATTATATGTTTCAGATATTATGAGTTATCATTGTTTGAAGGGGAGAAAATGAGAGGGGGAGAGCACAGCTTTTTATGCCAAAAGCTGTTGTTCTATATGCAAACAAACTATGAGCTGAGTTAGTGATCATGGTGTCTTGTCTTCACGTGAGGCACTAGCTCCCACATCTTAGTGAGGTCTCATGACATGAACTGTGCAACACCTGTGCATGACAGTGGCTCCCTACTGAAACACAACACAATCTACTAAACAAAGGCAAGAAGCAGCTATTCTACTGCCACAAGCCAGGGTACATCTTGCAGTTTCAATCGAGTTTCTGCAAATACAAAGAGGCACTGATGTACCATGCTAGTTGTAAATCACCTCTGCAGCACTTGCAAAAACTCAGCAAGAACCACTGTCCATGAGAGGCAGTTGATTGCCTCCATCTTGCATCTTCATGATGCTGCAGCTTATCCCAAGTACTAGTAAGGATCAGCAACTGCTTGCCAAAGAACTGGCTTAACATTGAATGCCACTCTGTTTCAGTCTCTGCTACGTATGAAGCATCTAGTACATTATGTGCTGGTTTTGAAGCACATTTCAGAAATAGTCTTCTGCTTTAGTTTACTGAAGACTGCTAGCAAGCCCTTAACAATTCAGCATCAAACTAACATCAGGATTCTTTGTAAAGATGTACCTGGCGCGGGTTTGTATCCTCTATACTTTTAGTATTTAACATATTCTTTGAATTACCTCCACCTGAAATGAAAATGAAAGACAGAAAGAAACCAGAATTGAAAAGAGACCGTAATTCTTTACATACCATCTCGTGTCCACAATTTTGTGTGTAACAGTACTTACAACATCTAGCTATCCAAAAAAAATATCAAGCCATAAGGGTTTTATTAGAATCTAAAACATATCAATATATAAAATATATATGAAAATCTTGGAGTCTGATCTTTGTTGCAGATGGCATCTTGTACGAACCAGGACAGGTGAGAGTAAAATATGACATTATGCTTCCAAATTTTTTTGAAGATTAGCGACCTCAGCAATTCTTATTAAAACTTACAGGATCTACTATATTTCCCTAACTTCTCACAGGCTTCCCTGATCCCCAAGAGTTTTTTCTGAAGCCAGTGATGCTGGGATGACAACCTATCCTACACTTTTCCCTGTATAACATATTTGGGCAGGGAAAGTGATGGAGCCATCGGTGTAAAAATAGGCAGGGATATTCCCCAGCACCAATTCAGTGCCTTGCTTTCCAGCTACCCTTCTGTGCAGACAAAATGGCATAAAAAGAGTATAGCAGCTACTAAGATCTTACCCTAGATATTAATATACTTACTTAATCCATGCAAGTCTATGCATTTACTTCTGGCTAATATGTCATCACCCTTTGTTATTTTGTACTGCAATGTGAACCCCAACCCCAGCCCTAAGATTCACCCAACAACCCATGCTGGAACCAGCCTTAAATTTAACAGGTATTTCACAGCATGGCAACTCTTTCTCCACTACTTCAGGGAATCTGGCATGGCAGATGTTAACCCTAGCCTCAGGATCACTGTTGGTCCACTGGATCCTGCTAGTCTTAGTCCTAAACTAAGCCAAATGGCCCAGCTATTGAGCACTGATTAAGCCAAACCCTAATTCAAACCATATCTTGAACATACTTTTAGCCCACCAATCTTTGTAAAGGTCAGAATATCAAGGTCCCTCTAATCATGGGACCTCCCAAATACAGCAGTCCCTGTCAGGCTAATCTGTTACAGTAGCCACCAAGTAGCCCACCAAGTTTCAGTAATGGCAACTAGGTCATAGCTTTCCACCAGCATGGAGGCTTCCAGCTCCTCCTATTTGTTGCCCATGCTGTGTACATTGGTGTAGAGGCACTTCAGCTGGGCTGTCAGCCCTGTTACCTTTTTAGAGGAACACACCTTAATTCCTTTGAGGTATTTCCCTGGTGCTTCCCTGTTGGCTCCTATTACCTCAGGAGCTCCTGGCTCATGTCTGTAAGACTTCAAGTGTGCTCCAGTTTACCCAGCACATCTCAGAGCGACAGGCTGAGGGCCGTCGCTAGCACCCCGGCCCTATAACCTTGGTGTGTCATCCCACAGTTTGTCACAGGCAAGCCTGACATTATCCCCCTCCCCTTTCAAGTCTAGTTTGAAGCTCTGACAACGAGCCCTGTTAGCTCATGAGCAAAGACCCTCTCTCCCCTTTGAGAAAGGTGAATCCCATCCAACACCAGCAGGTCTGGTGCCGTGCAGACCGTCCCATTATCAAAAAAACCAAAATTGTGGTGGTGACACCAGCCACAGAGCCATGTATTAATAGACTGGATCCATCTGTTTCTTCCAGCATCGCTGCCCACAACTGGAAGGATAGAGGAAAAAATTACCCCTGCACCAGATTCCCTTACCAACTGTTCCAAGGCCCTGAAGTCTCTTTTGATTGCCCTTGGAGTACACATCGCAGCTTCATTGCCACCCACATGGAAGAGCAATAATGGGCAATAGTCCCAGGGCTGGAGACTCCTTCCAGACTTAAACATGCCACAACTCATGCTGGCCCATTGGTGTCCAATTGTCTTAGTTCTACTACTAATCAAGGCTTATCTTGTGGCACTTCCTTGTACCTGCTCATGACCAAGCAGCCTCTCCTGAACCACCTTCTCAATTTAGTTCCTAAGACTGTACAAGTTCCAACTCTCACCTTAGATAAAACATTCACCTACAACCCCCTGCAAACTCACTAGCTGTTACCTACAGTAATATTACCCTAGTCTCAGCCCTAACACTAGCAGTTATGGATAACCAGTTAAGGCTTGGCAGCCCCTAAGATCTAGATCTAATCTTAGATCCTCCTCCTCTATCTTATGAATCCTTCAAAATTCAGCCTTTGTGACAGCTTAGAATCAAAATTTATCCCTAGCTCATACCTCACCATCAGCCATGCCCCATCTTACATTTAGATAGGCAACAACTATTATGCTTCACATCTTTCTTTCAAATGTAAAGGTAGCTCCAGCCCAAGAAAAAGCTGGACATCATTATCTTTTATACTTTGCCAACGTACAGCAACTGTGCTGGGTAAGGAGTGCTCACTGGTGCTCAGGTATCAGACAGTGAAGCCCGTGGAATTACTAGCGATTCCATACCTGCTCTCAGCTATACAGAATAAACCAAGATATGAGCCTCATGACCCACGTAACAATTCTACTCCATGAAGGAGGTGTTGAGGAAAAATAAGTCTTTGAACTGGGTCTAGCAAAGTCTTGCATCAGCTTCTTAAACATTCATTATGTGACTGTTTTTGTAGACTGAGAAAAGTAACGGAAAGAGACAGAGGATCTTCCACTTCCTACCTTTCAGTTCTCAAACCAGCCTTTCCTCCAGGAGACCATTTTGATGGACAGCCTTACTCTTCAACCATCTCCCATTATCAGAAGGCTGTCTGGGTCTAATTCACATACTAAATATGTGAATTAATATGTGAATTATTCTTGTTAAGATGGTTCTGCTCACATTAAGCACAATTATCTTAATTTCACTGGAAAGAGAAACTCCTGAGGCTCTCTTCTACTCCAGCCAATCCAGAATATTGTATATTTGTATAGAACTGGTTTCATTATGGGCACAGAATGTTGCATGAGGTTGTCCAAAATTTTTGTGCTATTAAGCTTTGTTCCTGAAGCTTGAAACTCAACTAAGTTTTAGTTACGTTGCTTCAAGATGAATGGTTTTTAACAGTATCATCTGTAAAACATTTTACTTGTGTTTTATAGAGCCTATTTCATTGAAAAACTCTAGTAACTCCATATTCTGGAGCAAAACCAATCTGTTAAGGGGAGGATAAAAAAGGTTCACTGAGGGGAAAGTACCGATTTCTCCCTCAGTAAAAAGTATCCTCTATCTGATATACTAATAAGCCCCTGAAAAATTGAACTTGCAACATATTCAATTGATAATCATTAGAGTTTAGCAACACAATTCTCCAAGGACACTGTGTGTGCTCCAGACCAAGGAGAAACGCAAGTTTCATTGCAACTGTTTTTCAGCTTCCTCAAGGCACTGTGAATCAAGACTCAAAAGAGAGCACAGACAGTATCTCTCCCATGCTGTCCATATCCTATGCGCTGACATCCAGGAAATAAAAAGGAGGAAAAAAAAAAAAGAACCCAAGAACTCAGTAAGGTACTGAAGCAGAGTACTGATGCACAGGAATAATGAAAAATGCAAGGCTAAAATATGGATAATCACTGGTGGAGGTCTTTAAAAGAAGAGAAAAGGCACAGAAACAGAATATAATCATCAGAACAATGATTCCCAAAAAGGGGGACATGAAAGCACATTTCAAAATGACACAGGTCTGGCAACTTTACTTCTTTCTCGTTATACCTCCCTCACTAAAAAAAAGAATGAAGTAGGGCCAGGTCAGCCTCTCATTTCTTCAAGGAGTTCAACTAAACCACATTTTGTGCAGCTGTACTCCTTTCACACTAAAAACTAGCAGCCAGAGTCTGCAGCAAAATGTGCAATCCTTAGTATGCTTGCCCACAGGGGCTGCAGCTGATCCCACACCATCAATGTTTTGCTGTTGTCAGCAGGTGGCTTTGAAACCACCAACCAAATATGTTTTCATCTACCTCTAGTACAAGTTAACACACATTGTGAGTCACTCTGTTAGCTCAAATACTATAGTCCTATGCTGTAAAAGTCCGAAATTTGCTGCTGACCCAATCTATCTCTCAGTATATTCCAGAACACAGAGAATTTCTACCTTAATTTTGGTCGGTTATATGCCAAGCATTATGCAATAGCCTTTAACTGCAGAATACGTTTTTTTTTGTTCCCACAGAACAGTTGTGAAATCCTACCCACTGCACAGGATGGAAATACCCTAAGAATGAATCAAAGTTTCCTACCCAATGAGACGACTGTCTGTGAAACCGTTTTCTCTTTTGTTATGGAAGTTTATCAGAGCCCCAGTGGATGAGACAGGGAACTTCAAAATAAGGAACAACAGACTTACACTTGAAACAACCAATTGTTACCTTAGGGTGCAGCAATGTTTTTGACACAGAGCATCACACATGAAGCTGGATATGGTGAATTGCTTCAATCAAAACATTCACAGCTGACCCCTATTTGTCATTCTTTTTTTTTTTTTTTTGTGCTCAAGATGAAGTAAAAATGCAAAATATCAAATACTCATAGCTTTACAGAATCAAAGCAATGCTAAATTATGAAGTTACAGCTTCCTTTAAGATGCAAAAGACAAAATCAGAGTCCCTGAAAAATTAAACTGGAAAATCTAAATCTTGGCATCTCAAGCTGGCCACTGAAACGGACAAAAAAAAATTCTTAAAAAAACGTTATGTTGGTTATTTAATTAAGGGACTGTTTTGTGATAAGCATGCACGGGATTGCTGAATTAAGGCTAAGTAAACTTAATTGCACCACTTCGTAATTTTTTAAGTGCTTACTTTTTCCACAAAATTTTCTGTTTTAATATACTTTTATACATAGGTCTGTATATTTTCCTATGAACAACAATGAAGTTAAACCAATCGAAATTTAATAGTCTACTGACGAGTTACAAACCTAGTTTTGTTGACTGCACAAACTCACCGTAAGTATTCCTCCTATTGATTGTTGAAAATGAAACGGGGCGAACAGGATTTACAGAATTCCTACCAAAGGCTTCTTGTCCTAAAAAATAATGTAAAAGATATGTTGAACAGAAAAGTATCTTGCATCTCTCACTTTGGCTTCACTTTGCATTACAGTCAGTAAATAAGCTTTCTGGAGAAAAAATGATCATTCAATCTAGTAGAAATTAATACATCAAAAACCACATTACCAATTAAATAATGATACCATTCAATAAAGATGCCACAGTGAATTCCATAACAAAACTCCAACTGAAATTCAACACAGAGGAATATGACTTTGTAAATGAGCATTAAGTTTAGACCTTTTGGATTTTAATGACATTTTTGCAAAGTGCATTGTTTCCCACTGGATGATAAAACTGCTGTTCTAGGTTGCAATTGTTTACAAGATGAGTATTTCAATAGCTAGTTAGTTATTCAATAATTTCTCTTTTCTTAAAAGTCAAACTTATCAGCACCACTTTTGTACTCATTTATGTTTTAAAACCTCCGGTTTGTGAGCAAGGAGTATTTACACAAGGATAGTGATTGAGATTAGCGCTCTCAGATTACTTTTCTCCATTACTTCAGAACCAGCTCAGCCATTTCTGCAATGAGCAAAAGGTGAATGGTTGCTTGGGAATAAGAGGCCTAAATGTAAAAAATAAAATGTAAAAGATACTGGGTTTAATTTTTAGTTCACTATTTTATGAAACAAATGCTCTCTCCCCTTATGCACTCATTACAGTTTTTAGCTTGGGTGAAATTATTTCCAACACATAGATGAGCAGTTCTGTACTTCACCAGCAGTGCCATCCCAGCACCCCTTCATAATGTGGAGAAGGGCATCCTGGCTACTACTTTTTCTGAAAAAGAGGGAGGGAAGAAAGAAGGGAGGAAGCAAAGGACAGGAAGATCGCCTGCAGGGAAGTACAATGCATGGTCTAGGCCATTAATTGACATTCTAATGAAAAACCTTGAGTTTGCAGGGACAAAAGGCTATATACACTGCTCCTCTCCACAAGCTGTAGCAGCTGTGGCTCACTGGTCCTAAAACTCCACCTGGGCATCAGGAATTTTAAGTGTGACCTTAAAACACAGTTCTCCTAGAACTGCAACTCACAAGCCTCACGTCTCTGCTGGTTTTTGCATGGTGATATACGGTGAGCTCAGACTAATTCCCAACTTTCTTAAGTTCTTGACTCTGTGTGCAGTTTTAGCATCTAATAGACACAGGTTTACACAGGACCTTCCCTCAGCTGAGCACATGGACAGTCCCTCTCCTCTACCTGTCCAGCCTTGCAAGACCCTAATCATTTAAGATACTGTAGTCCCTAGTCAAAGCTGGTTTAAACTAGCCCAGCAATTCAGGAGGGGTTAAACCACACAGACATACACAGAACAAGGTACAGTTTTACGTTACGCCTAACCCAATTTAACTTGTTACTTCAAGAGGACCTATTTCCCATCACTTCTACGTTGCCTTCCCTACCGCCTTCCTTGTGTTTGACCTTGTGCAAAACAAGTGATGCTTGCTGACCCAAACCGAAATTTTTTGTGAGGTTGTTTTTCCAGTGAATTACCAAACTAAGATGACTCACAGACTCATGATTACTAGGTGTAATGCAAAAGGGAGCTAAACTTGCTAGTTTGGATTAACACGAAGCTACCTATATAGCCAGTGCAACTCCTGCAGACATCATACAAAAAAAACAACAGCTTGTTTTTTGAGGGGAAACTACCAAGTCAATTTGAAAAAGATAAGCACACATCTATACAAAGTCATACAACTTTAAATCTCATAAAAACCATGCTTCCCCTGGGAATAATTTAAACATTGCATAAGAGAAGGGTTGTTAATTGGAGGCAGAATTATTCATATTTCGTAACATCTACAATGTAGCTGTTACAGTTCAAATATTTTCAAAATTTGAAACCTTTTAAATGATTAATATTTAAATGTAATATTAAAATGTAAAGTTAAACAATGTAACATTTTAAATGCTTTAAATTTGCACAGATAAATCCAAACTGAGTGGGCTTAGTTTAAAAAAAACACCTTTTGCCACCCCAATCTTAAAGGTGCTGGAGTGAGCACTTAAGTGAGGAAATTCTGTATTCTCCTACACACTTCCTCTGTGAGGCAACAAATTTATCTGCATGCATCTTCAAAGGATGAAAAATAGCAATCTTTCTCTCTGACAAAGCACATCACATTGCAAGGAAAAATACTTCAAAGAGTGTTCTATGACTATGGTAGTGGCGGCCCTGTAATCCTATATTTAAAACAGTCAGATAACAGCAGGCATTCAAAATAGAATAAACTGGTTTGTATAGGTCAATTCCTTGGGAATGGCACTGCCCTCAGAATGATGTTGCACACAGAATACTAGATTACAGAAGGATATATAAATGTATATCAGGATCTACATTTTCACTCTGCATGAAAACATTTTTCTTCTGCTTTTCAGAATACACTACATTTTTTCTTTCATATATAACACTGTGATAAAAATCCTAAAAAAAATTCTCATGATTCCTAATGAGTTTATGCAAACAAGTCCACTGTTAGGTTGCTAATATGGAGGTTTAAACAAGAGAGGGAAATTATCAATAATTATTAAAACGAACGTTTCTATCATCTTTTTAACAGAAATCCATGCCACAATATATCGGAACAATTATGAATTATATTTGATTCAGTACAGTTGTTCAAACAAAAAAATAATCTGTATGATAATCATCAGAGAATATCTTACTTCGTTTGTTTTCCAATCTCTTGCTCCTTCTTCTCTGCTCAGCTTTTCTGTCCTTATTCAGAGTTACTTTTTGGCATATGTTGGTTTCTAGATCCTGCTTGTCTTTAGAAGTAGATTTCTGAATTTTACTGACAAGATATTTGCTTAGAATCAATAAAAATACTCTCTTCTCTATACAAATCAATGTTTATAGGAGAGCTAAGAATGTGAATATTTGATTTTAAAAGGAAGGCTGTAATAGCATGCAAGTATATAGGCTAACATAGGTAGTATTGAATAAAGAGTAAGTCAGGAGATAAACTAACTTCCAGATCCTCAAATAAAAGGTAAAACCTTTACTTTTTGATCATCTAAAGTCATTCACATGAGGAATGAGTACTCTGTATGCATTGCATTTGTTACGTTAATTTAAAAAAAAAAATTTAAGAATGTTATGCATGATTTTATCATACCTAAAAGCCTTAGCTTTGCTTCGTGTTGTAATGCCACTGTGAGACATCCTCTGCTGAGTCTCTTCTAGTATTTGGCGTTGACGGGAAACATGATCTCTGCACTTCCTTGAGGAGGTCTCTCTTAACTGCATCACTGTCCTTGATGTTGTTGGTGCTGTTTCTGCACATGCTGCAGCCTCCACTGAATGCAAACTTCCCTCCCCAGTTTGCTTTTCACTAGAGGTGGCACCCCAGTAGTCTGAAATTATTTCTTTCTCTCTCTGCTGATCACCCACAAGCTGTGACAAAAGAGAAATATTACAAGCAACTGGTAAGCACGCAGTTAAAACAAGGGATGTATATATAACAGCTACAAGAATATTGCCTTACAAATTTTATGTGTGCTCACAGTCAATGGAGGGGCTGCTTAAGTGAATAACTGGAATGATACAGACATGAGAGACAGAGGCTGCCATAGGAGAGGCACTCCTAAACCAGTATGCATGTGCCCCTGGCAGAATTAGCCAAGGAATTAGGATACTCAGAATCTCAACAGATGACAGCAAACAAAAGTTGCTACTATCTGAAAGTTGTTTGGTTGGGCATATATGAAAACTGTTTTGACAGATTCATTTCAGACATGAGCTCCTGTCCTAAAAATAAAGTGATGTTTAAGATGTCTTAAGCTAGCCCATCTTATCTCACTCTTGCACAAGCCTAGAAATGTGCACAAGATCAACATCCATGTTTCACCTGAGGTTCAGTAACTCCCAGCATAACTCCCAGCTGAGAAGTTATTTCTTAAGACATACCATCCCTGAGCAACAGCCACCACAGACAAGATTCACTTCACTTACCTTCAGCCTTCTAAAAGCCAGGCATCTAGATGTCACTAGGCATTCTCATTACCCCTACCAATGGTGAAGAAAAAAGAGCTACTATCAGAGATGACAGTGATTCACCTTGTCCTAAGTTGTGCAAAGAGGAACCTTAATGATTGGTGTATACCAGAGGCTTAGCTCTAACAGTAAGGGAGAGAAATCCCACCCTAAAGATACGTCATCACATGGAAGTTAATTTGAGTTACTTGAATTTATTCACTGTTTTAGTCAAGTAAGTGTGATGTGCTGCTGAGTATCACTCAAGTTGTTGAAACCTGGGTACTCATTAGCTTATGACACACTTAAGTAATGCTGAAAGCTCTTAGGACACACCCTCAGCACACATGCATATAAATTCTTCCACAGTGACATGGGAGAACTTGTTAGTGCTTTCTTGGGACACAGATGGAAATGGAGGATTCGGTGACTAATTTTTTTAATTGACATATTCAGCAGAGAGGCTGTTGAAGAGGTGAACTGAAGAAGTGATCCCTCCAGGTCAAGAGATGATGCATGGTAACATGGCAGTTGAGGAAAACCAAGTATTTCAGTTTACAAAACTATCAATGCAGTACTTTCCACGGCATTACATTGGCTATGGAAGGAAGGTTAGAGAAGAAGAAGAAAACATTTCCAAGAGGAAAAAAAAAACAAGTTGCTTTATAAGGGACCATGTATTAAAATAAATGCAACATGATTGCATCTACAGGATGGTACAGGCTCTTGTCTTTTGGGTACTTGTTTCACCACAACAAGGATACGCTGAAGAAACAAGGATGAGACAAGACCAAGGTGAACAATATACAATATACTGTTAGAACGCAACAATTGCTAAAAAACTAACTGGGATTTTTTCCTCATTAAATTGCCTCCCTAATTTCTGCCTTCAAGGAGAGCAGCAGAGGCACAAAAAAAGCTAAAATCAATTATTAATCGACAAAAAGTTACTGATTGCCATTCCCACAGGACCCTGCTTCACAATCTTAACTGCAATATTGAGTAAATCTATACATTAAGCTTCACACAGCTGTGCTACAAATCTCAGAAATCAACACTACACTGAAAGAGCTTTGTAAGTTGCTATGGTTCTGAGACAACTAGCCTAGAAACCTTTCAGCACCTTGAAATTAGCTACCTTTGTGACACCTTGTATTACATACTGTTATATGCAGTTAATACTACCAGCAAAAGATGGAATTAACTCAGTCTTTGCATGCTTTATGCCATCATGGGGAAGCAAAGTGGCTGTAAAACCACCGTACATAGTAGTTATACATGGCTGATCATCGATTTGCAGCTCCAGATTTTTCAAAGACAACACAGAGCAGAGAATCTGACTCCAAGTTTAAAAGGGATGTCTAC